CGCAGACTTCACTGAGCGCGCCGAGGAAGCAAGGCAGCTTGCCCGCGTCAGAATATTGAACCAGCAGCAACTTGACGCCCAACGGTACAACCTTCGCCATCGATTCGTCATATATCAACCAGGAGATAGAGTCTGGGTTTGGTTTCCTGTACGACGAAGAGGCCTCTCAGAGAAACTCCTACGCCGATACTTCGGACCCTACAAGGTTTTGCGCCGTCTTAGCGACGTGACTTACGAAGTCGTGCCCGACGCCTCCTCCTGTTCGAAACGTCGCCAGCATCTGCCTGAGACAGTGCACGTGGTCCGCATGAAACTTTACCACTCTCAGTGATGTAAACACCCGCTGGCTGCATCTCTACCTGTTGAGCATCGGGACGACGCTCACTCTGGTGGGAGGGTAATGCCGCGTGCATAGCTGCATTTAGCGGCGAGATAGCAACGACAACGAAGAAGGCGGTTTTGCTCGAGAGGCGCAGCGCAGGCAAGTGAAGAAGATGACAATCCTAGCGGCCTTCTCTGAGAGCGTCTCTATAAGTTCCACTGTCCGTGTTTTTAAATAAACCCCCTGTAATTTACAACCCGCGACAATATGGTATTTCAATGGGCTGGAGGGTACCAGCAGGACCCAGCGCAGGTGCCTTGCAGCGCTGGCAGAGGTCACACGCCGCAAAGTACTGTCACACAGAACGGTAGAGGCCAGACCAAAATAATCATTGGCGAACGCAGTCATACATGCGTCACTCCCCTAGGTGTCCAGCAGTGGATGCATCATGAAGCTGGGCTAAAACGGATGAGCGGAGATGCGCAGGAACAACGAGAAAAAGCCCAGCACCATCAGGGCGGGCGTTGTAGCGATGCAAGATGTCGTTGTGAAGGACGAACATCTGTGAGGGGTGGTCAGGGGGGGGAGATTGCAGACCATTGATAATAGGACGCAAAGAGGAGTCGTGGCGTTGCTCAGCAACTATGTTGGTGAAAGCTGTTATTGAGAGAATGAGGACTTTTTGTTCATCTGCTATAATTTCAGGAGCATCAAGTGGGTAACAGGACAAGCAGTCGGCATCCTTGTGAAGTTGTCCAGATTTATAGGATACAGAAAAAGTGCAATCTTGTAAGCGCAGCTCCCAGCTACCAAGGCGTTCCGTATGGTCCTTGAGCGAGGAGAGCCAGTAAAGTGCATGGTGGTTTGTAATAACTGAGAATTGTCTGCCATACAGGTACGTTCAGAATTTCGCAGTGGCCCAGACGAGAGCTAACCACTCACGTTTTGTGATAGAGTAATTTTGTTCTGAGCGCGACAACAGTCAGCTTGTGTACACAGCATGATGCATTTCTTGTTGCTATTGGGCCAGCACTCCGCCTATGCTGTGGCCACTGGCATCGGTACGAAGCTCCATGGCAGCAGATGGGTCAAAGTGTTCTGGGACTGGTGGATTAGTAAGAATGTCAACGAGCGACGAGAAGGGGTTTGCTTGCTGTTGGCCCCAGGTGAATGCGATATCCGTTTTGAGGAGGCAGGTTAGAGGATGGGCTACTTCAGCAAAATTCTCGACAAAATGACGATAATAGGAGCACAGTCCCAGGAAACTTCACACGTCCTTGGTTGAGCAGAGTGGGGGGAAGTAGCGAACTGCTCGGACTTTGCAAAGTCTGCTTGTACGTCCGCAGCGTCAACAAGATGGCGGAGTAAGCAGATTTGGCATTGCCCAAAGCGACATTCGGACGCATTAAGTTGCAGGTTGGCATGTTGGAAAACATCAAGCACTGTGGACAGGTGGGTAGGATGGTTTTCGAAAGTAGTCGAAAAAACAATAACATCGTCATTATAGCAGCAGATGGTCCACTTCATGCCTCGAAGGAGAGAGTCCATCATGCGCTCAAAAGTTGCGGGGGCATTACGTCATCCAAAAGGCATCGTTTTTAACTGATAAAGTTCACCAGGAGTCGCGAAGGCTGTCTTCTCTCTGTCTTTGTCGTCCACAGCGATCTGCCAGCAGCCGCCTGAGCTGCTGGTAGATCGCTGTGGATGAAGAGAAATATTTAGGAGAAATATTGAAAAGAAATATTGAAGAGAAATATTTGGCACCGTGTAAGCAATTGAGTGCATCATCTATGCGCGGTAGAGGGTAGACATCTTTCTTGGTAATATGGTTGAGATGGCGGTAGTCAACACAGAATCTCCAGCTATTGTCCTTCTTCTTAACAAGTACAACGAGTGAGGACCAGGGAATAGATGAGAGTTTGATTATGCCCTTATGAAGCATTTTATCCACTCTTCGCTGTATAATAGCCCGCTCTTGAGCTGACACACGTTAGGGCCATCGGCGAATGGGTCGAGCGTCACCGGTATCGATGCAATGGGTTACCACGCATTTCTTGCCCAAATTGCGGTCCCCGAAGTGAGAGATATTCTAATAAGAAATGAGGACTTGTTCAGAGGTGAGCTTGTCGAATATTATTGGCGTGAAAAGGTTGGAACAGGAATGTTATGAGAGTGATGTTAATGAAAAATTAGGTGACCAATCAGTGGTTAGGGTGGAAACTGTGTGGTCGACCAGTGGTGTCAGACGCGCACTTAACTGACATGCCGCGAGGAATAACTTGTGCCGAGAAGCCAGAATTAAGAATGGGAAATGAAGTTCGGTTGTTTTTAACGGTAACCACCTTGTTAGGGAGTGTGACATTACGCATCATGGCCACGTTAGAAATTGGGGCAGCAACATAATCACCATTGGGTACTGTAGGGTATGGTGAGAGCTGGACTTGGACTGCAGTTTGCGGTGGAAGTTGGAGGAAATCGACAGAGTGTAGACGAGGTGGGCTGGTGGAGACGGTCTCTGAAAAGGATAGGAGTTAAGCAGAAGAAGACCTTCAGAACTATCAATGAGCAGAGTATGCGAGGCCAGAAAGTTGAGTCTGAGGATGAGGTCGTTAGGGCAATTTTTCAGTACAGCAAACAGAACTGAAGTTTGATGCTCAGAAATCGGTAATTGTGCTGGGCACATTCCAAGCACAGCAGGAGTACTCCCATCCTCTGTACGAACGGTAGGTGCAATCGCAGGCATCAGAACTTTTTTGAGGCGGTGGCGGAGGTCTGAGCTCATCACAGATATTTGTGCACTGGTATCAATAAGAGCAGTTACAGGTAAACCGTCGATGAGAATTGTAAGAAGGTTGCACCACTGGCGGGGAGTAATCAGAGGATTTTCAGTCTGAGTCGTGTATGCAGCGTGATTTCTGGGGGCTGCACTGGCTAGTTTTCTGAGCGACTGTCTTAGGAAGACAGAGAGCGGCAATGTTGGGGTGAGCAGAACTGACGATGTAGCGGCTATGGCGAGCAGCTGGTCTGACGTTCTGGAAGATGCTCTGCACTTGTCTCAGCACGGTAGGACGAAGCATAGGCGCACGTTCGGAGTGGGCTCCCCAATCATAGAAGCTTGGTCGAGGTAATGAGGTCCAACGACTGCGGCAGCGGCGAGCAATGTGTCCTATCCGACGGCACGTGAAGCATATGGGCCGATCATCACGAGTGTGCCATCCGGCTGGATTTTGTCGTGGCGTGAAGGTGCGGTTCGGAGTGGCAGCCGCAACGGCTGGAGGAGCAAGCTGAAAGTAGCAGGGGCATTTTGATGAGGTGGTGATATGGCCATATTTGCGATCTCTCGGCGAACCATAGCCTGTATCATTGTAAACAGCAGTGAGATTGTGTCCTGGAGCGGGTGCCATAGCCTCGAGTTCCCGACGGACTATTCTGGTGACATTTTCGGCGCTGGTGGTTGATGTGTAGTCAAATCTTGCAAATCATCGTAGGAGGATGTAGCCGCCATGTTGGGAAGGCAGTCAAACTGGTGAACGATGCGCCTACTTATCCCCTGTTCGAAGCTATGACATGCTTCGATGACTGACTCCACCATCGAGCAGTCCTTGCACAGCAGGAAATTGAAGGCGTCATCGGCAATTCCTTTCAGGGTGTGTCCGACTTTGTTCTCCTCAAGCATGTCCTTGTTGACCATGCTGCACAAAGCCAACATGTCCTGGATGTACGGGATGTACGGCTCTCAGGATATCTGGGCACGAGTCGCAAGCTTTGTTTGCGGCCACTTGTCGTCTGATGGGTTTTCCAAATAAATAGTGTAATTTCTGCTTACAGACGTCTCAGCTGGTTAACTCTTCTTGATGCGTCTCGTAGCAGAATTTTGCCATGCCATGCAAATAGAAGGTGATATTTGCCAACATAAGCGTTGGATCTCAATGGTTGCTGCTGCTAACGCGCTAATACAGAACCAGCTAGTCATCGTCTATGCCACTTGTGTCGTTGAATGGGCCTGGGTCACGAGCTTGCATCACAAAGATCGGCTGTGGGGCTGTTGGATCTTGTTACATTGAGTAGCCTGACCAGTCATCGTGGTAGCTGCAATGCGCCGTCCGCTGTGAAGATCCAGCTACTGCGCCTGTAGAGGGAGTTGTACCCCGCACCTTCCACCAATGATGTTAGGGGAAAGAAGGTATATGTGAAGAATATATTTGCGAGCAAATGCGCACAATGCTGCTGCAGTCAGTGCATGTTCCCCTGAGCACTTCTTCGTCGTCATTCTCAGGTATCTACTCAGCCCGTGACAATATGATTTTTTTCAAGTGCCACCCATGATTTCAATCTCGAAAGGTGGATGAGCTGTTGCACGCAGTGCTTCATGGCCGACATAAGCTTACAACAACTAAATTCATACCCGGGTGCATGTGAGAATGCTGGCACTAGCGAAATGTGGTTAAAATGGACCAGCCAAGGACTCAACCCACTGGCCAGGTAGAAGAGAAACAAAAATTAACCAGTGACTACATCAAAATAATGCAATAAATGTGCATGGCAATATATTTTAAATATGTCCAACTTTAATTTTGTAGCTCAGACCCTGCATTTTTTACATTGTGATAACGATACTTTCTTTTTTTGTTTCAGAAGTGCTTTGTCAATACTCACTTTTGTTCTTGTATTTCTGCAGCCTAATTGGCCCTAAAAGGAAAATGGCCCTTGTGATTTCCTGCTGGAATGAACGGGAACGGCAGCAGGTGAAACACAAGGCAACAGCATTGGAGCAGCTGCAATGACTCATCTTTATTGTGATGTCCTTTTACTTTAAAGTGCCTTGCCAGAAAATTTGCTTATTTGTTGTAAGCTATTGTGAGGGATTGCTGTATAGAGAGTCTATTTTTGCAAGCATTTTTGAGATGTGTATTGACAGATTTTATTGTGAGAGAGGGGATAAATGTTCGCTGTATCATTCCCAGCAGTCAGTCTCCTACATTGTGGTGGTCGATGACAGACTTTTGCTTTACGGTAAGAAGCCATGCTGTACTGGATGTATTTGCAGTGGTAGATTTGTGCATACATTTCACAAGCATCCTCATATTGTAGTGCTGATGTGGGCTGTTGGTGCGCTGTAAGTGCAGGATGCACAACTTATAATGTCACCTCAGTTCGCAATGAAGTGGTGTTCGAAGTTCCAGCTGATCTCTCGTGGTGCACTGGTGGAATTGATTCAATTCAATTCAATTCTTTTGGTTATGGGTTTAACCAAAACTGGTTGGAGCCATAGCCAAAGGTTAGTCTTCTCTAAACCCGTTCATTGACACTTCGTCTTCTTGGTTTGTTCCTTTGTTTTAGAAACTAAACAGGGGAGAGGCCTTTTAAAAACTTTAGAAAGCTTTCTTTTGGAGGCCTAACTTGTCAAGAGGATTACTTGCACGTACATGTGGACTTCCTTGACAAATTGACACTTTTTGCGTCTGAAAGTTTAAACAAAGAGCCAGTACGTAGAAAAAGAATTCTTACTCAGAAATGCTGTGTTATTGTCTATTATGGAAATCCCCACTGTGAAAATATCAGGCTGCTTACCACACTTTATATTTGGCATTGCTTAATTTAAAATTTTGATCAAAAGCCATGAATACATAAATAATCTATACCTGTGGCACATGAAGCATATATCGTATTGGTTTCCAAAGTTAGTGTAAAAATTAAAATAGAAAAACTTAAAAAAATATAAACATGATTCAGCTCTCTGGCTGGGAGCTGTTTAACAATGACTGCCAGGAGCTGAAATGTTTTTTACTCCTTATAGTGTGGTTGGTGTTCATTTTTAACCTTTTTTGATGTTACTTCTCGACCTGATGAGCTTCTGTCAAAATCTCAACCTTTAAGGTAAAGCTAAAGGGAAACAGTGATTTTGAGTGTAAATTTTGTGATTGGTGTTCCAGAAGTGTGTTCTTAGTATGACAGCAATTATTTCATAGGTGTTCTAGGGAAGAATACTTTGTGGTCACCTTTTTGATTCACTGTATGCACATTTGCCCAGCCTGTCGTGCTTCAAGTGGAGAGGAGGTTGAGGAGCTGTGCTGTGTCCATTATGTTTGTTGATATGGAGGGAGCTGTGGCAACATATTGCACACGCAAACTGCTCACCCTGTTTGCAGACATGACGAACCACCATTAGTTGGGCGAACTGTATCGCAGGAAAGCTGTGGTTGTAAGTGAAGCATAAGCTCAAGAGGAAGGTGCCTCCATGAAGGAAGCCAAGGAGAGAGTGTAGCCAATCAGAGGTGGCCTTGTGTGCCTGTAGTTGTCCAGGAGCAATCCTCCCTTGAACATGTTACTTGGTTTATTTAATGACATGCAGAATTTTATACTTACAATGTTTCATCTAGTATTATACTTTTTATCAGCTCAATTGGGCAATACTAATAGTAGTTATATTCTTGACTAAAAAATACTATAATTGTATGCTATTGAAAGTTGTGAATTTCAACGAAACAGGGGTGACATGTGTCATTGTCAATGCAAAATGGTGTATGCAATGTCTCAGCAAACCAGTGATACATCTCACTGTTCCCTTGGGCATAAAGTTTATTTTACCAAACATAGCTATTAGTTGTTTATCGTTCACAAGCCACCTGCTTTTCACAATTATCATCTTGCATGCCGGCACATGCAAGGGCCATATGTCTTGCAGAATGCTCTTTGCAGAATGCTCTTTTTGATTTAGCCGGGGAATGGGGACTGCCTCAGTTCATACCTGTCTTCATTGTAACTGACAGTGCCAGAAACTTCCTGAACGCTGCATTGCAAATGGGATAGGTATGCATTCAATGCTTTACACATTTCTTGCAACTTTGCATTAAATGTGTGAAGAAATTCACCCCCAACTTTGAGCAACTGTGCAACAAGGCACTAGAAATTGTAGGATACTATGACAGGAGCTCTGAGGCCAGGAATCTCCTCAAGGAATTTCATACAAGCATGGGTATAGATCCCCTTGAAGTAATCCAAGACGTAACTCATTGGAACAGTTAGTATGAAATGATGGCTGGCCCATTAAAGCTTTGTCATTTGATATGGCATATAAAACTATTATTTGTTTACACAACATCATAATGGTTAAAATCACAAAAAGAGCCAAAACCACAAAATGACATACGAATCCTATATTATACGTTGTCATTATAAGAGCACACAATTTGAAAACAGCAACATCGTCGACTAGATTGCTGCTGAAAACAGTTGCAAAAAGATAGATACATAGGTATGAATTTGTAACGCGGCGTAGGATCAAGTACACATTTTATTGAACAACTTATTTAAACAAGTTTATGAACTATAAACAAATTGAAAAATGTGTCACTTAAACAAGAACTCTGTATTAGTAACTTGACACAGATTCATTGCTTTTTGGGTTTATTGATGTGTTAATATCGTTGGCGCAGTTTACGAGGCAAGCAATTCGCTGTCAATGGCAGCTGTGAACAAGTTTATGGATGATTCAGTGGTTAGGGTACGTTTCAGTAAGTTCCAATCTTTAATTGTTAGAGAGAAAAATGAATATTTGAAACACTTAGTGTTAGAAGAGTGTTCGGCAAGAGTATGACAATCATTATGATAGGTTGGTCTGCAGTGAAACAAAAATGTATACCCTGAAGTTTCAATTTTTATTATGTTGTGTAGTTGATGAAACATTACTTTTAGTCTTGTTAGCTTTGTTCGGTTATGTAGTGTTTTGGGCTGTAGGTTTTGCACTGTATCAATGAGTCTGTCTGTCTATACTTGTCATAAATAAAGTTTATGGCTTTTTAAATGCGAAGCATTTCTTAGCATGCTTTGGTGACTTTGAGCGTATCTATCTATCTATCTATCTATCTATCTATCTATCTATCTATCTATCTATCTATCTATCTATCTATCTATCTATCTATCTATCTATCTATCTATCTATCTATCTATCTATCTATCTATCTATCTATCTATCTATCTATCTATCTATCTATCTATCTATCTATCTATCTATCTATCTATCTATCTGTCTGTCTGTCTGTCTGTCTGTCTGTCTGTCTGTCTGTCTGTCTGTCTGTCTGTCTGTCTGTCTGTCTGTGTCTGTCTGTCTGTCTGTCTGTCCGTCTGTCCGTCTGTCTGTCCGTCCGTCCGCCTACGGCTTTTAGCTCTCCTGGCCGTTTCGATTATAGTATCGATAACAAACTTGGTATGGCATAACATGACTGTATGAAGAACATATGTGACTAGTCACAGCATGAAAATCATCAGATGTATTTCAAAAATGTCATGAATTACATTTCATTGTCCTGCAGCCCTTGCGGTGGTTTTGTTCACATGGCATGTTGCAAAACTGGTATGGTACGACATGATTGCAATGCAAACACAAGCGACAGTCCCTAACACGAAAATGATGACATGCGTGTCATGTAACAACATCCCCCTTATGATGCACTCACGGCCATTTCGCTAGTGTCACATATATCAAATTTGGTATGACGGTACGTGAATGGATAACGAAGGTATGTGACTGATTCAAACATGATAATCATAAGATGCGTGTCCTGTAATAACATGAATGCATGCTACGCTCAAGATTCGCGGGTGGCCGTTTCGCTAGCTTCACTTATACAAAATTTGGTATTACGAGACGTGAATGGATGACGAAGGTATGATACCGATGCAAACATGATAAACATGAGATGCGTCTCATGTAACAACATGAATACATCCTATGCTCATGATGCACTCACGGCCGTTTCACTAGCTTCACATGTATCAAACTCGGTATTATGCGACGCGAACAGACGACATAGGTAAATTAGACATACAAACATGATAATCATGACATGCGTGTCATGTAACAACATGACTACATGCCACACTCATCATGCGCTCGCGGCTGTTTTGCTAGCTTCACATATGCCAAATTTGGTGCTACGTGACGCCAATGGATGACGAAGGTATGTGACTGGTGCAAACATGATAATCATGAGATGCGTGTCATGTGAGAACATGACTACATGCCACAGTCAAGGAGCCAATACATTTCGACGTGACCCGGTGTGCGTGCTCGCCTGCGTTCATTTCGTTTCGTCACGCCAGCGTTGCCATGCCAGGCGCCAGTCCTGCCATTTACTCGCAGGGGCACGCCACGCTGCCTTGCTTTGACGCATGCGCGTTTCAGCGCGTTCGGCATCCCTCCGTCTTGAAAAGAGGGAGACGCAGTATTGTCTCGGTAACGCGTTGGCGTAAAATGCAGCATGTCCCATTTCATGCCGGTGGCCGTCGGGCCGTGGCGACGGATGCTGGTCGCGCCTGGCGTCAGACTATAGAGTTCTCGCATTTTGCTAATGTAGCGTTCCTGTGCCCAGTGTGCACGCGCGCCAATGCTACATTGGAGTATATTAGGCCCTTCATGATGCGCTCCAAGCTGTTTTGCTAGCTCCACATATACCAAATTTGGTGTTACGTGACGTCAATGAATGACGAAAATATGACTAGTGCAAACATGATAATCCTGACACGGGTGTCATGTAAGAACATGACAATGTACCATGCTCATAGCGTGCTCGCGGCCGTTTCGCTAGCCCTACATATTGCCGCCAGCACGTAGTGGGTTGACAGCAAGAGCCGCTCTAAATCTGGAGGAAAAAAGAGATCGCGTTCTTCTTTGCTCGAGAGCCAGCCACTACTGACGCATCGTCCATGTAGCTAGATACCTGGTAGTTTAATAAATCCCCCAGTACTTGTGACTCATCGTGACAAACTGGTGGAGGTGCTGGGTAGTCTCACGGATGCTGCAGACCCCCCCCAGGAAGCCGCGATACGAGTCCAGTGCCAGTCAATACTCCCGTGCATCGGACCAGCCGCCGAATCAGGGGATTGCCTCCGGAAGCCGACGACACTACTCCCACCACGTCGATAAACATGACCAGCGCTTCGGTGCAAACCTCGGCAACCGGCACGGGAAGCACGACGTCGAACCGCTACACGTTGGAAAGCCCACGCGCACCGGCGACGTTCCATGGCTCGGAGCACGAGAACGTTGAGGACTGGTTGGCGGATTTCGAGCGCGTAGCCACCTTGAATCAGTGGGACGACGCGGCGAAACTGGGTCGTGTCTACTTCTATCTCGAAGACGGGGCACGTACGTGGTATCAAAACCGAGAGGAACAGCTGACGACGTGGCCCGAATTCTCTCGTAGACTTCTGCAGACGTATGCCAGTGCTGATCGCCAAGAACGAGCTGAACGAGCTATTCTGGCCCGCGTCCAGCTGCCAAACGAAACTGTGACCACGTTCGTCGAAGACATGACGCGCCTCTTCCGACGGGCCGATTCAAGAATGACGGAGGACAAGAAGTTGCGTCACTTGATGCGCGGTGTCAAGGACCAGCTTTTTGCCGGCCTCGTGCGAAGTCCTCCGAAGACTGTCGCGGAGTACTTGTCCGAGGCCGTGACAATGGAAAAAATGCTGCAGCAGCGATCCAACCAATACGACAGGCAAGTCAGTGGCATGTCTACTGCCGACATTTTCACCGCCACTAGAACCAACAACGACTGTCTACGTGAACTCATCCGTGATATAGTACGTGAAGAGTTACAAAAGGCTGGTGTAACACCTCATCCTACAGTCAACTCTATTGCAACTGTGATCAAGGATGAGCTGCACCAGGCCCTCCGGGACACCTTGCCTCATGATACAGCTGTGCCAGCTCCTGCTGAATACCGCCGTGAGACAACCTACGCGGAAGCCTTGAAACGCCCTGCTGCAACGCCGCCATTATTCATCCATCCTGTTCCTGCTGTTTCACTACAGTCAGCGCAGCACATACCGTACTACGAAGGCACGTACACGCCACCACCGTTGGCCTTTGTCCCTGGTGCTTCTGTCGCCCATCGTTCAGTGCAACCAGTTCAGTACATCGACGATCGGCGCACGTCTCCTCGAAAGTCTGATGTTTGGCGCACACCTGATCGCCGGCCTCTGTGCTTTCACTGCGGAGAAGCTGATCACTTGTACCGCCAGTGCCCATATCGCCGTCTTGGGCTTCGTGGCTTCTCTGCGTACTCACCGCCACCCCGTTACGGCCAGAGACCGCGCGACATCGAAAACTACCTCTGGATGGATGGATGCTATGAGCGTCCCCTTTATAACGGGGTGGTGACAAGTATGCCACCAGGCTCGACGAAAAAAAAAAAAAATCTTTTTTCCCTTTTTTTTTATGTTGGCCTAATGCCTCTACTTCGATAAATTCTATCTTAATGGAAAAAAGGTAAATTTTCAGCTTAAGTTCTCTGCCATTTACGGCACACTGTCCATATTTTATTTTTCCAATATTTATTTTTGTCCTTTCTCTCTAATTTTCTGCCACCAATATTCTAACCGTCTCTTACTTATTTCAATCGCGGGTGTGTTCAGCTTTCCATTGTTGTCCCTAAAACCCAAGGCTTCCTGTAGGCTCGTGCCCAAACGTACACCTGGGTGGATATCTCCACATTCAATCGGAACATGCTCCGCCGTTTCCTTATCTTTCCCGCAGCATGTGCATTGTTCTTCTTCTTTACTGAATCTTGCTTTATAACTACGCGTTCTAAGGCAACCCGATCTCGCTTCAAACAGTAAAGCGCTTCCCCTTGAATTATCGTAAAATGCCTCCCTCCTTATTTCATTTTTGCCCTTTCGGTAGTTACTCAAAGCCGGTTTTTTCTCCATAGCTGCCATCCAGTAAATCCTCTCCGCCTCCCTGACTTTTCCCTTAACGCTCTTTGTTGACATATGGCTCACAATACCAGCCGTATATTTACTAGTGAGTCTTCTAGTTCTTTTTCTCCACTGTGTGTCCACGCTCTTCCTATACAAATAACGGAACACCTTCTCTGCCCATCTACTCTCCTTCATATTTCTTAGCCTTTCTTCGAACCTTATTTTGCTCTGCGCTTCCCTCGCCTCAAAACCTGCCCACCCCATATCGCCCTTTACAGCCTCGTTTGTCGTCTTCCCGTGAGCACCCAACGCGAGGCGTCCCACAGTCCTTTGATTTACATCCATTCCCGATTGCACCTCTGCCCTCATGCACACCACTGAGTTCCCAAAAGTAAGCCCTGGAACCATTACACCCTTCCACAGACCTCGAAGGACCTCATACCTATTGTATCCCCACAACGCTCTGTGCTTCATTATTGCCGCATTCCTCTTTCCTTTTGCTGCCGAGGCTTTTTCCTGTACCTCCATGTATCTATCACTCTCATTTACCCATACTCCAAGGTACTTGTATTCACTTACCCTCGGTATTTCTTGGCCTTGTATGGACACCGTCTGATCACAGGGATCATTGAATACCATCAACCACACTTCGTTACACTGAATCCTAGTCCAAGAGCTTCACCTTCCCTTCCGCACATATTCGCCAGCTGCTGTATATCATCTCGATTGTCCGCAAATAAGACGATATCGTCCGCATAAAATAAACCTGGAAGCTTCTGCTCAATCATCATGCCGCCCTGTTTGTGTGACAGATTAAAACCAATGTTGCTACCTTCTAGCGCTTTTTCCATACTCACCATGTACAGCATGAATAACAGTGGGGACAAAGGACATCCCTGTCTCAGACCCCTGCTAACCTCAACGTTCTCTTTGCTACGCATTCCTTCCCACTCTATGCAAACTGTATTTTCTCGGTATATCTCCCTCAAAAGCTGTATACAGTCGTCGCCCATGCCCATTCCTTTCAATATATCCCACAAAATTTCCTGATTAACGTTGTCGTATGCCCCAGTGATGTCTAGAAAAGCCACGTACAAG